AAGTATGCTTTATAAGAAGTAACTTATCTAGGGTAGCTTTGAGGATCACTTAGGTAGGCTTGAAGAGGGTGTATGGGCAGTCTCTTCATGTTTTACTTAGGTTAGTCTTAGAGTAGCCTTAGGTATAGAGTTTATATGATGTTAAGACTTTTTTTTATTGATGATGAACTTATGTGATATGTGATGTGTTGGAATAAGTTACTTTTGGTAGTTTTGAGGATCATCTATGTTTTTGTGAAGGGGTTGTATGGACGACCACTTCATATCTTACTTAGGTGGGTCTTAGGATAAACTTAGTACGGGGTCCATGTGAATATGCTTATGTGATTGATGTTACTTGAATGTGTTGTATATGTGATTATTGACTTGTGTTATGTGTCTTACACTCTTTTATGGATGTTTTTATCAAAATGTCATGAAAGCATGTTTCTATTCTAAATGTCTCTTTTTCATTGTTTTTGTATGGCTTCCATACTTAGTGCATTGAATGTGTTAACCCCTTGTATTCTCTTTTTGACTGAAGTGTAGGGAATTTGAAGTCATGATATGCCTGGAGTATGGATAGGTTTATAAAAGTTGGGTTGAAGATGAAGTATTAGTGAGTCTTCATTGATTCGAGGACAAGACCCAAATGTTCCTTTTATGCCTTTAGTATTTATTTTAAGTCTTGTATGGGATTAGTCCCTATGTTGAACATTCAAAGTATTATATGGTTTAAAGAGAAGTTATAAAGATAGATGATTTAAAGAAAGTCTTCCTCTATCCTATTAATGAAATTATTTCTTCGTGTGTGATGAAAGTTTTAAATTCTAGCTTCGAGGGTATCTTATGCGATGATTGATACGGGAGGCTTGTGTGATACTTCCTGAAGTGTCATTTTCCCTGTAACGACTTGAGGATGCCATTTCTTCTAGGTAATGCCTCTTGGTCGTGACACTTGAATAATGAAAAGAAGGTTAATAGAAGCCTTGAAGTGAAAGACCATTATGGTGTCCTTCTTGAGCGGAATGATGGACTTAGGAGTAGGTTGGCTGGAACGACATGAAATTATCTATAAGGAAGTCATAAGAGCTATCCAAATAGACTTTGGTTGACAGCCCTAGTGGACCCATTCTTGGAAGAAAAACATTATGAGTTGGTAGGACTTAGTAATTCTACCTTCTCAAATACACATAGGGAATGAATTACTCTTCTATAAACATGGCAAAGCACTGAGATAATATGCTTGTAGTAGTATCTCTACTTGAGTAGGAGACTAGAGTATAAAGAATCCCTTGATATTCCTTGACCATGTCCCATCATTACTAGTTCTAACTTTGTCAAGTACAACACCTTCCACGGTGTGGGGTCCTTATAACATGGGATTCCATACATAGATAGTATGTTCTATGTCGGCTAGTGCCTATTCTCATTATATGGGATGTGCATTCTAGTATTAGAGAAGTTCTACAATGTGTAGGTAGTGGAATGAGAAACTATCTATACATGGCATGTGTAAGCTTTGAAGATGCTAGGATGAGTTCCCAATGTCTTTCAATACTATTATGTGAAGTCCTATAATAGTTTAATTATCTCTTAAACGAATTACCTAATCATGATGAGTTAAGTTATTGTGTGTTGAATAGAAAGGTTCTTATCTAGGGTAGGTTTATTGATTGCTTAGGTAGACTTGAAAAATGTGTATAGGAGGTCTCTTCATGTATTACTTAGGTAAGAGTTTAGTAACCTTATGTGGAGAGTCAATGATGAAAAGTCAATAATCTTACTTTGGGAAGTCTTGAGGATCGTTTGGATGTGTATGAAGGGGTCATATCGGCGACCGTTTCATATCGTACTTAGGTGGATCTTAGGATGACCTTTTTTAGGATACCTAAATATTTATATGGATTTTATGTGATTATGTATCTTATGGATTACATTAATATGCCTTATATGTGAATATTGACTTGATACTGGTTGTTACACTTGTTTTGTGATTTTTTATCAAACGAGCACAAAAAGTATTAGCATGGTTTTCATATATATACGATGATTGATGTCTAAAGGTTTGTATATGACCACCGAGAGGTCAGTATGCTGTGTAGTGACTTGAGGGGTACTGTTGGGTCGGTTCAATGTAGATCTCCAGTTTGTTTGTTTGGTGTAGGTGAAGCAGCCTTGAAAGGAATAAATTCAGTCCATGATGCTATGGAGAAAGTGTAAATCATTAGAGATATACATAAGACAACCCAGAGTCGCCAGAAGTCTTAGACAGATGTAAAAAGTAAGGAACTAAAGTTCCTAGTTGATGATTGGGTTTTCCTCAAAGTGTCACCTATGAAGGGGGTCATGAGATTTGACAAAAAAGGGAATCTGAGTCATTAATGTGTAGGACCTTACAATATTCTGTAAAGGATTGATAAAATGTCTTATGAGTTGGAGTTTCTAGCAGAATTAACATCAATGTATCCTATTTTTCACATTTCACTTTTAAGAAATGTGTGGGTTATCATACATCCATAGTGACATTAGGAAGTGTGGACGTGAAAGATAGTAAGTCATATGAGGATGTACAAGTTTAGATTCTCTATCGTCATTTAGAAGGTTGAGAAACAAAGAAGTCACTTCAGTCAAGGTTTTGTGGAGGATTTCATCCGTAGAGGGAGCTACTTGGGAAGCACAACTAGCCATGAAGCCCAAGTATCCTCACCTCTTTCCTTCCAATTTCATTCCAGATTGAGGTAATAGTTCCACTTCAGTTTTTCAGTCATTCACGCACAGATTCAGTCTTAGTATTATGTTTCTTCAGTTTGTACTTCCATTTTCAACTTATTTGCATGTTGTTGGAACTCAGTTCAGCTAGAAATTAATTTATAGTACTTAGTTGATGGTATTCCACCTCCTTTCCTCCATAATAAGATAGGTTAGTCTTCATTGTAGGATGAATGTTTCCATAGGGAGATAATATAACACCCCGTATATGATACATACCAGAATTACAGACTTTTAGAAGTTGCAAGTGCCACCGACGGAAAAAAACTATGGACCATCAATTGACTTACGGTCCAGTAAACTGTAGAACTTCAGTCATATATATGTTAATTACTTATTTCATTGAGAGTATCATAAAACCAAATTGGAATAGGGTTAAGCGTACCCAAATACTCCCAGAAATAATAGCCACGTAGGTTGTAAGTCCCCTACGTGGGAATAATTTTATTGATCAGGCCATCATGTCTCTATTCCTTTGGCTTGGTATATTGGGTCCTCTTGATAGGGTGTATATGTCAGACTCCACTGTTCTCATGTTGTTTTATTATCGGTTAGTAGTTACTCCCATAGTTCAGTTAGACTCCATTACATTGACCGTTTTTCAGTTTTCAGTCTCATGAATTTATAACCTGGTCATTGCATTCAAATTAGTCATGTTCAATATTTTAGCGTCCTTATCATGTTCAGATTATTTCATTGCCTTATTTCTTTGTACAATTGTATATTATTTCAGCTTTACTCGATCCTATATGCGCAATAATTTTCAAGTACTGACGCATACGTGCGCTACATCTTTTCTTGATGTAGGTTCAAGTTCTCAGCATCCAAATCACGCTTAGATTGTTTCCCGATCTTAAGTTCAAAAAAATCAATGGTTGAGTCCTCATTCTCCGAGGATAATACTCCTGAGTTTCTTTTAAGTATTTTTAGTCCTTTAGTTTTAGTTTTGCTAGAATTAGCTAGGACCAGGGTAACATAGAGGGTATTTTCACACATAGTTAGATTAAATTTTGTATTAAGTAAATATATTTTTCCATTAAAATCCTCAATTTTCATATATCTAATTTATAGTATAGGTCTATTCCAAATCGTTTCATAATTTTATTTACGATTATTGCTTCTCCATCAATTTACTATTCAATTTATATTTACTATGCTCAAGATCATGCTAACAATGTTAGCTTGGGATCACTTGTGGTCCTAGGTCCCGTGTTTGCGTCTTAGGGGTAGCTCGGGGTGTGACAATTTCCTTTCTCTTCATTGAGTTTTCCCTCTTCTTTTCACTAGACCCCGACTTAGGCCTTTAGACTTAGTTTGCTATTTCAATCAAACAAATCATTCATGAGGATTAAGGGTGATGGATCAAGAAAGGTCTAGTCTTCATCACATTTATTCCAAAGAAGGTTAACTCTTAATGGATGTTCAAGAGAGGTTCACACACTCACAAGGGAGGTCACAAAAGAGGTATATGTCAAATTTGCTCACACTCTGTAAAATTACCTAAGTTAATATCAAGAGAAAGCATAAATTATTTGACTAGACTAAGGAGTAAAATTCTGGTGTTGTCATGCATGGTTCAAGATAAGCTTATCACACAAGGCATCAACACTTGAGTCAAACCAGACTCCACACTTTTGCTTTTATGCAAAGCTCATTACAAGAAAATCAATTTGACAAATGGCAAGTAAAATCAAGATACAAAGAGTTCACATATTGTCTATACAATTGTTCAATTGCAAGCACTATTCAAGTTATCGGTATAGATCCAAACCGACACACAAATTTTCCTAAGAACAATCACATTTGAGTGCATGCAAGGGGTATCCAAAATTTGAGAAAACTTCAAAATTTTTTAGAAGGGTCAACATAATTTTATAAATAAAAATAGATAGGACCTGTAAGCTCAAACATCCACAAAAACTAGATGAAACACAATTTAAGCAGAACAACCCAAATAAAAGCAAAAGCAACACAACAATATTCATCACAACGGGTGTGGGCCTCACTCTATTAAAATAAAAAAGTATCTATCCTCATAGAAAAATAAAAGTATATAAAGATAAAAAATATAATAAAGCAAATATGTAGGTAAACAGAGATCCTATCTATGCAGTCTCTCTAGCTGTCGGGTTCTTCGTGTCTTGTGTAGCGCTCTATATATAGGTGTCAGTATTTCAAATAAACTTGGAAAGACCAGTCTCACTGGACTCCTCAAGAGGTGAAGTTTCCAAGGAAGCTTGCACAACAACTCAGAGCATAACTTCTTCAATATAATTCTTGTATTCCTCCAGAGCTTCGTCAACTTCTTTTAGTATCTCATCATTAGTTTCTGATTTCAGCTCTAGATAACGTGTATGCTCCATCTCATCTACATGTCTTGTAATGTTTCTAGGCCTCTCATGTGTATATGGAATTTCCACTATTCCATATATCGCAGGAATATCAGTGGACTTCAGGTTGTCCACATCCTTCCTTAGCTCAATGATGGTGGACCTTAAGGCCATCACTTTCTCTGTGAATCCTTGATCGCGCTCACACACCACTATGCTAGACTCTAGGATATCGATATTGGTGTTCAATGGCTGCACGATATAGTGGTTGTACGACATCATCTGGGGTAGCCTTAACCATGAACTGAATAGAGCTTTCTATGTTCGCAACTCGATAATGAGCAATGTTGTTCCATCTGGATCAAGGATGCCTAGGTGATTGCATCACAGGAAGAAACAACAACAGTTGGTCTGGGTGGTAGTGTAGGAGAAGAAGAACCTGGAATATCATCAAGAGTAGCTGTAGAAGTGGATATACATGAAGGACATCGGGCAAGAGTATACAAAGTTTTTTATACAGGCATAGATCTAACTTCCACCCCTTTCTATTATTTCTTTTCTGCTTGGTCCTTGAGACATTCAGCTTTGGTTTTTTGGATATTAGTGGAGGTGATAGGCACCACTTATACATCTCTCTTAGCATCTATACACATTCGAGCTCTTTCACACAACTCGGTGATCAATACCGGAAAAGGGAGAGATGTCTAACTCTGTTTAGCTCGCATATATATCACAAAATAAATGATCGTTGCAAGATTGATTCTAGTTTTATCCATGATGCATTCTAAACAAGATTCGTTCTCATGGTGAAGAATCAATTAATTTTGTGACAGCAAAGTTGTGCTGCTTATAAACCCAAACAAGTATCTTGCATCCATATTCAGATGTTTTCAATTGAAACTCCTTCTGGTAACCATTTTGTAGCATCCTAATCAGAGATCAATGGATCTAAAAACTAGTTCATCTAATCCAATGTCTTTGTTTTAATTAGGTGTTAGCATTCACCGAAAATCTTATTAGACATACCTAATAGCGTATTGATATTGTCACTGTCACAAGCTACATTCCTCTCTTAGAGGACCAGATAGTCGACTCTTTTGAAAGATATTACCATCATCTTCCCCTGATGTAGTAATCCACTGTAAGCACAATAAAATTATCTGACCATCTTGGTATGCATGATCTATGAATTTTTTAAAAAATATTTGAAACTTTTGGTGTTTTAGGGAATCAATTATCTCTTGATATCTATTGATAACCCCGTCGATGGATAGTTTCTTTTCCTCAATAATCATTCGTAACCCTTCAGAATTTGATCTTTTTGTTCACTTAAGTGGGGAACCTTGGAATATAGGGGTAAACAATGTTACCTACTCTTAATTTAGAGGATTCGGAGTTGTAAGTTTAGGATTTAAGATCTTAGAAGGATCATTTAACTTTAGATTTTATCTCATTTCTCATTGCCTCTTTCACTTCATCTTCATTAGACACCATACTCTCACTATTATATTTTATGGGGATAGTGGTGTAGAAAACCATGTTGTCAGAACTTGCGTCTAATAACTCCAGAGTGTTGGCTTTTCCCTTGCCGTTTCCTTCAACAGTGGACAACTTGGGGGTATTGTACCTAGATACAGTTATATTCTCATTGATTTCGATCCCATTTTCCTTCATTTGGGTTGGCTGTTTGTCCATGTACGCAAAACATTATAGAGGAGTTAGCAAGTTTATTCAATCATAGAAAATGTATTGTCGTTACTCTCGCCAAACCTGTCGGTGAGGCACCGAATTGCTTTGGTTAACAAAAATGTGTTATCTGAACATCTTAACATAACTATTAAAGAATATTGGTGGTGTGTATCCTTTTAACAATTTACAAATACCTTTTGGTGATTAAGTGTTAGCTGTTGAAGTTTTAGTGCACTCATAGGTTCAAGGGTTCGGGGCAGACAAGGAGAAAAACACGAGTAAAATTTGCAATTTACTGATAGCCTTTGGCAATCCATGATGTCTAGCCGAAAGTTACAGAATTAACAATTATTCTTGACACAAAATTAAGGGCGGTATGGAGACATTAAGTGAACCGCTAAAGGATTTGGTGAGCTCGACCAAGTTCGTTAAATTACCCAACCGGCTCACATTTGATCCACACTCTTTATTTCGACCCCAAAACCCCCAAAAATAAAATTAAATTATGCATGAATGAGGTTAAGGTCAAATCAATGACATCAATTATGATAAAATCCCAATATGTACAACCTTACAAGATTTAGTTTATATTAATATGCTCCAAAAAGTGATTTTTATCGTCGTGATTAAACTAGGCACAAATTTGCAAGTTTAAATAGGCATTCAATTATTCTAATCCTATTAGGAAGGCCAAACACATAACAATATGACACGAGTATTGCAAAAAAGGGTTTAAAATTTGCAAAAAAAAAATTGGGTTTGAGGAACTAACCTTTAATGCTGATCGAAATGCTAGGTGACAAAGAAATTCTATTTATTAGCACAAATCAACCACTAAAACGCTAATTGAAAGCAAAGATTTTAAGGATACTACTTTGGTGTGAGGTTTCGATGTTTAAAAGCAAGAGAGAAAGAGTTAAAGAGTTCAAATTTATAGACCTTTGTCAATTTTAAGCCCTTCTAACGTGTCTATTCTTCGACGTTAGTAGGACTTCACTGTTACGCTCGGAGACACATCAAGTGGTCTGCTATTTTTGCCTCATTTTATGGGACCTCCAATGTATTATGAGTTTATTTTAGTACTAATTCATCCTCCACATGTACCATGGCTCTAAAGAAAGATCCGATGTTTGCTGCAAGGGGCAGGTCAAAATCTCTTGCACCATCTTTCCAGCTAATGGATGAAGATACTGTTGCACAAACTTACAGTGCATATGTGCTACATAATAATAGGACATTCCCTATGGCGTCTGAAATTAAAAGAATCAATCATGACTGGTGAATGTCGACATAGTCAATGCCTCTCATTTTAATGATTAGAATACATTGATCAGTTCTCCAGCCAGTGCTGAGTCTGCTTCTACTTCTAGCTCTAGCTCTACGTTTGACTCAGTACTAATAGTTTCAATGCCTCATCCTATGATGCTAGTAGTTTAGAAATAATAATGCTCGTGCCCTTCCTAATAATTCAGCAGGTGGCCAAGAACTATCCAACACAAATGAAGCAAATTTTTATTTACTTAATAAACTGTTAGAAGGTAACTAAGGTTATGAGGGAGACATTTCTAGAACCACAATCTAAAATTCAGTAGCGAAATTAGATGTAGACCAAGCTACTTCTTTGAATGCCAAAATAGAAGCAATGCAACATAGCATGAATTTACAATTTAAGCAGTTGGCTCTAAATCAAGCACCAGTAAAGGTGGTGAAACAAGTAGAAAATTGGTATGAGGTATGTGGTAGTGGAACACATGATACTGAGCAATGTGAGGCAAACTCAGATTTTGTAAATAATGTGTGTAATATGCAAAGGGTCCAAGGCCAAAAAAATTATGGTAATCGTTACAATCCTAGTTGGAGGAACCATCCTAACTTTTCTTGGGGTGGGAATCAAAACAAAAATCCAGAACAAGGTACAAATTAGTACCATACCCAAGCGGCTGGGAAACAATACCAAAATTCAAACCAAAGTGTATCCAAAGGTGGGATGATTAATGAAGAGCTATTCCAAAATGTCCTGTCTGAAATGGGGACCAAGTTAAATGCTAGAATAGATAAGACAGATGAGAACATCAGGAACATCCACATGTCCAAAATGTGTTTAGAGAAACCAGTTGCACAAGTGGATAATTCTTTGATCTTGCGTCCCCAAGATGGGATGCCTGGTGATACTGAGCCCAACCCAAAGCATATGCATGCACTAAGTACTAGAAGAGGGATGCAATTAGAGAAACTAGCTCCAAAAAAGAGAGACACTGAAGCAAAAATCACAAAAAAGAAAGTCGAAGAGGTAGTAAAAAGTTAAAATGTTGAGGCACCAACACCCCAAAAGAAGTTACCACCTCCGTTTCCACAAAGGCTGAAGAAGCAGAAAGAAGATGAATGCTTTGGTATGTTTCTCTCTCTCCTTAAACAAGTTCACATTATTCTACCTTTGGTTGTCATTTTGTAGGGTATTCCCAAGTATGCTAAATACATGAAGGACATGTAGCAAGAGGAGACTCACAGAGTATGAAATGGTAGCATGTATATTGAGTAATGCAACTAAAGGATTCAAAATAGATTGCCCACAAAGTTAAATGATCCCAGTAACTTTATAGTGCAAATCACTATTGCGCAAAGTGTTCATGCCTGAAAGTTATGTTATTTAGGGGCAAGTATAAATCTTATGCCCTTATGTTTGTATCAAAATATACAGCTGGGTTTCCCTAAAAGAACCAATGTTATTCTCCAACTCGTAGGTAGATCCATTCCTATGCTCGAGAGGGTGGTAGAAGATTTGTTGATGCAAGTAGGTTCATTGAATTTTTTTTTGTAGATTTTGTGGTGTTATACTTTGAACCTGGTTTTGAGGTCCCATTCATCTTGGGAAGACCTTCCTTGTCCACGGGTAGGGAAATGATAGATGTAGCAGCTGGCTTACTAACCATGGAAGAACATGATAAGGTGGAAATAATTGGTGTGTACTGCAGTAAAAAAATGTCTCTCTGTTTATGAAGAGTTGTTGGCTATCACTATGGTTTATCACATGGTAGAATCACATGTACTCACGCCTGAAGATCCTTTAGAGAAAGTTTTAGGGGGTTATGAGGTAGAGCGAGATACTAAAGCTCAAGATATAGAGTCATGCTTAAATCTAGCTTTAGCAGATAGTCCTAGGATTCAAATGGAGTCATTAACTCGTGAATTGGTCCCTCCACCAAAACTATCAATATAACAAGCCCATAAATTGTAACTCAAAATTCTTTTGGCTCACCTAAGGTATGCTTATTTGGGTACTAATGGAAGTTTGCCTGTTATATTTTCTGCAGATTTGTTTGGCTTACTGGTTGAGGCTTCATTGAGGATATTAAAGAAAAGGAAGAAAGCAATTGGGTGGCAGATGACTAAAATTCATGGAATTAGTACGGCTTTGTGTTTGCACAACATTTACATGGAAGAGGACCACAAACCTAAAGAACAACAACAACGCCATCTAAACCTTGTGATGAACGAAGTGGTAAGGTTATAAAGTATTAAATGCTGGAATTATATACCTAATCTCAGATAACAAGAGGGTGAGTCTGGTACAATGTGTTTCCAAGAAGGGT